CGATTTTCGTCCAAGTGGCCCTTTAAGTAATTTTCCTTTGTCTACATCTATAGTAGGTTTGAGTGGTAGAATTTTGAATTTACAATCGGAATTTACTTCACTTTGTTTTTTATTCTGTCATTGTGCAGGCAAGCGTTACGTTTGTATTGTTTTGATGATATCATCTAAAGTATATTTAAAAATTAAAAATTAATGTACCATTTTGACTTAATTAAGAATATTTCGACGTACTCGTACCTCGCCAAACCTAGCATTCCTTCCTCATCTGTATCATTCTTATTATCATGTGTGAAATGCTTCTACTGCAACGTCACTCTCTTGACAGAATGATAGCTACAGATTTCTTAATCTTTTTATAAATAATTATTGTCTTGGGATTTCTTTGACAAAAGGCTTTTCTGTCTAGGAAAATGCCGAAAGTTGAATGAAAATTTGATGAAAGCTTTAAAGCAACCTTCAAACCTATTCGATCTGTGTTAGTATTAAAATTACCCTGCTAGCAGAGTCTCCTTTTAATATTAAAATATGTTGTGAAACATAATATTTGTTTGGTGACTGAGAATGTGGGATTTGTCGCTGTTGTACGGAGCACAGTAGTTATGTATATTTAGTATCTCTTTACCTTAATCTTCAAATAGACAGGAGTAATCTTTGCATACATTAAATCTCGTGTTGTCACATACTAGAGTAGGCTTATATTTTTGCATGTTAAATGTCAGGACATTGTAGCTTAATTTCCTTATATTCTGAAGGTGTAGTTCATCGTGGCTCTAGCTGCCTGCACAAGAAAATGCCTTAGGTATATCATTATACTTATGCCTAGAGGTAGTAAAGACATGGATATTGATTGTATTTACAATTATAAATTGCTTTTTAGATTTATGTTTTCACAAATTTCTTCCTTTGAACTACTGTCGACTACATTTGACCTCCATAAGATAAACCTAATCCAGGACTTTTTCTGATTGGCTGGTGAACTATCTTGTTGACATTTGTTGAAGAAGCTATTAAGACAGCTAAATGACCTCAAACAGGAAACTTGGAATTAAGGAATTTTTAATCACCTACACACAAATTTAGAAATTACACTTTCGATAAATAATCTAATTGGGAAATTTTAATAAATTGCTAAACATTCAAACCTTGCACTATAAATTCTTTGAAATTCATTCGATTTCAACTTAATCATATTTTAAATTTTTAACATAGTATTAAGCTTGACACCTTTAAGAATAAAAATGAAATTTTCCAGTATTAAAGGTATATACAGGTAATGGACTGAACTCTTATAGGAGTAATAAATGATTAGCCTCAGTCCAATAAACTGGGGGGAAGAGGAGGGAAGTGCCAAGGGGAAAACGGGGCAGAGGTGACAAGGGGGGAGGGGTAAGTAGGGTATTTGCTAAAATGATTATAAATGCTGAACTGCATTAAGCACATTTTAAAATTAACTGACGAAATTTTAGGGAGTAAAAGGTTGTAAACCTCATCAATTTTAGTCCATAGATTAATGGTTTTAATAAGAAAATAGTTGATAAGAAAGAATGCTGAGGGAATGAAAAAGAAAGAGCTTCGAATGATATTACAGTGTAGCTGTTGCATGTAATCTTGCTGGTCGTAACTTTTGCTACATATGCAACAAAACTGAAAATGGGAACCCTACCCAGCTCTTGCATCATGTAGGAGTTGGAAATACGGTTCGATTCTGTTGTTGTGTGGGTTGCATCGTGTACTTGGCCCTGGCCCTTTAAAGTGATCAAAGTGAGAGTTGTAGGAAAATTAGGAAAAATAGAAGAGAATAGAAGAAAAAGAGGATAGAAGCAAAAAATGGAATTATAGAAAGGGAACTTGCCATTTGAAGGTGTAGGAACAATTGTAAATAAAGGTTAGGTATATGAGATTATATAAGGTACATGTCGTATGACTTTGAAAAGGCACGGAATGGAATTTCACCAAATCCTTTACTAAACCAATCTTTGCGCTGGATGAATGCATATCCAATGAGAATCACAGGACACAGCACCGTCACGGTCACGGCACGGTGCGTCCATACCGTGTTTTTTTCCCAGTCGTCATGCTTCACACGTATTCTAAGAGATTAATTTCCACGCTACAAATGTCGGAACTAAGTTCTTCAAAGCCAGATTAGTACTAATCCTGGACTAACTTCGGATTTATTTTATAGACTTCTGGCACGAAATCCCTACCTGGGATATTTTAACATCAATAAAAGTTTTCAATCCTCAAAAGACGGTATTTTTGTTATTGACCCCTAGATTGGGGAATTAGTGCAGGAGTCTTTATGTAGACATGTTTTCTTGGTAATCAAGTCTGGATTGGCGCTAATCAGGCTTCGAACAACTGGGTGTAGTGCAAATCGTGCGACAGGCTTATTGGTTTTCGGCGGTAAAGTTGCTGATATGAGTTCGATGTAATACTGGAAAGTTTACGATTGTATGATAAACAGTAAAAACAACTTTCATTTATATGTAGTTTAAAAACTTTTTCCTAAACAGTAATGAAGTTCAAGGAAGAGGGTTCACGATTATCATCGATTTACGTGGATCAAAATGGAAGTCAGCTAAGCCAATGCTCAGGACACTGCATGTAAGTCAACACTGAGATCTTTAATCTATAATGACCCTTTTTAGTTTGGGCTCAATGTTTTCCTATTTCAGACCACGTGTCATTCCCGTGAGAATAAGATTCTTTGTTTGAATGGTATCCATATTCATGTGTCTTCTCATGTGCAACTATTAAACAAAGAAATAATACTTTAGTGAATGACACGTGGTCTGAAATGGGAATACCTTGCGCACAAACGTAAACGTTATACCTGGTTATCAATATTAGGTTATGAAAGGGGGGAGGGTG